CTTCGGGGCCGCCGCCTCTTCTCGCGTCCGCGGCTCGGGGCAGGGTGAGGGGCGGGGGCTGTGGCGCCTCAACCTTCCTAGGGGACTCAGCCCCTCGGCGACCCTGTTTCGAGGGGAGCAAGAGCCCCGCGCGAGTTCCCTGCGTCTCCTGAATCGCTCGAAGTCCGCTCCCGGCCCAGGGTCACGGGAATTTGGGGGACGTGGGCTAGGTGGGGCTGTGAGCAAAGCGGTCCCGGTAGGCACAGACCCCGGGACCCTCACGCAGGTCGGACTCCCACACTCCCTCGTCCTGCCCCCCGGGAAGGACTCCTGACCCGAGACGCAGGGTACCTACAATAGGGGTTCTGGGTCGATCGGCTGCGCCGTGGGAACCCAGCCTGCCCCTCCAGGTCTTGGGGGGAAGGGGAGGGACGGCCGAATCCAGCGCTTGGATTCAGAGCGCTTGGAGATCGGAAAGAAGCCTGGTTTGCGCGGGACAAGCCCCGCCCGACTCCGAGGAATGACTCTCCGCTTCCTTCCTCCCGGTGTCCCTGCAGCCCCGGACCTGGACCTCAGAGGAGGTACGGTGCTTCGGCTCCTCGCCGCTTCCTTTCGTTCTGCCTGTCGGGGGAGAAGGTCCGTGCTCCTTTCCTTTTCAGGTCCTCGCAGGCGACGGGCTGGCCAAGGGGGACCAGGAGAATGGAAAAGCCTGCCGTCCGTTCCGGGCTCGCACAGCTGGTTGAAAAAAACCTAAAGTTGGTTTCAGGATGGGGCGCAGGACGGGGCGGCAGGAGGGGAGGGTACCCTGAACCCGGCTGNCGTACCCTGAACGCGGCTGCTTGGGCCCCGTCGTTGGTCGTGGGGAACAGAAGACCCCCCGCCCTTCCGCTTGCTGCAGGAAAGAAGGGGAAGCCGCTTCCCAAAGGCAGGGAAGCCAGATGCGCCCCTGGGCCGCCTTCCAGCGCTGGCGCTCTCGCTGGCGCTCGCCAGCCGAAGGGATGTGCGGCCAGGCTGGACCGTACAGGAAACTCCTTTCGCGTGTTATGTTTTCCCTGGATGCTCCAACAGTGCTGCGGGAACTACCAGTAAATTCAATTCTAACATGTTTTGCTGGTGACGGGGCTCGGGGGTGCTGGGGCTCATGCATTTGTCTTTTGCTGGCTCATGTGGAGCCACCTCTAAGGACTGGTAGAAACTGGGATGGCCCAGCCTTCTCCCCAGGCAGCAGCCCAGCCCCGGCCTCTCTGGCCAGTGGCCCCAGTTTCTCTGGAATACCTCTTGAGTGAACATGTCCCATCTTTGGGGCCTCCTGTTTCTCTGCTTGGCCAGTCCTACTGGAGTTTATCCAGCGATAGCAAACTAACACGTAAAGGAAGAAGGTGCGAAGCTCTTATAGCTTGTTGCTTATTGGGAATTCCTTTACCAGAGCCATGAGAGGAGAAATAGAAAATAAGGGAGTGCGGGAGCTTTCTGGATTTCTCTGAATGTGCCCTGTTCCCATTCAGGACCGTATTCTGGACAGTATTGAGGATAGTGCATGCTAACTGGCTCCCTGCACAGCTGCAAAACAAGTGAGGGAAACGAGAACGTTCCATGAGGGCTGGGAAGGGGTTCCCAAACCAAAATCCTCTGTCCCTCGCTTTGTGCAGCACTTCACGCCCGCAGCCCAGGATCTGGCTCTCCACTGTCAGGGAATCCCCTTGTTGAAATTTAGTTTCACTTTGTACATCTGGGTCCAGAAACATATGCTGTCAGCTCCCTTGGGCCAGGAACCGGCATTTGTTCCCACATTTCTAGCACTTACCACACTGCTAGGCACAGCCCACACACTCCAGGCATGTCGGTTAAACAGGCAGTGAGTCTCAGGGTCCAGGCACAGCAAGGCTCCTGGCAGCCAGGCACGAGCCGGGGTGGTGTGTACTGGTGAGCAGTTTGTCATTTGCTCCTCAGTAGGATCCCATCTATTTGTCTAAGATGGTCTTCCACCCTTCAGGTGTCAGTCAGATGAAACACATTCCATGGGCTCCCAGTGCATCCTTGAACCTGGGGTGGAGGGGGCCAGGTGGGCAAAATAGTTTACTGGTTACCCACGTGACTCTGTAATTAGACCTGGGCTCTGACTTAGGCAATGCCGCTGATAGCTGTGTGACCTTAGACAGATTACTTAGTTTCCCTAAGCCTCAGTTTTCTCATTTGTAAAATGGGGCAAAAACGACATCTACATCAGGGGTTTACTGTGAGAGTTCAATGAGATAAATAATGTATGTAAATATAAAAAACCTTAGCATAGTTCATGACACATTGTGAGAATTCAATTAACCTTAGTTGTCTTTAAGCAAGATCAGTAGCAGGAAACCACACGAATCTGATGCTCACACCATAGACTGGGTGAATTCTCAGTCCTGCCACAGGGCAGAGGCCTCTAGTGTAGAGAAGCCACACCCAATTTCAGAATTCCTTTCTCACCAGAAGGAAGCACCAAACAGAAATAACTCACTTAAAATCACACTATCCCCTGAGACTCCCTAAGGGCATTAAAGTGATTTTTGTGCCTTTAACTGAAACCACAAGTTTTCATCTACCTCTCTTCTAGGGGATAGTCAAAAATGTCTGCTGTTCAGGAATCTGTAATGGAGCAAACAAAACATGGAGCCCTAGGCGATATAGTTTATTTCACTGCATCTCCATGCTGGAGGGCATATTAATGTGCTCTGAGAACCCTAACTGACATTACAACAGTCCACTGATGGGTAATTGGAATTCCTGCCCTGGGGACGGCTTCATTCACATGCCTGCAAGCATCCCTGCCCTGGTCTACTTTGGGGAACACTGAAATAGGCTGAATTCTTTTTCCTCTAGGCCAACCCGACTGCCAGAGAGGAACACAGAGGCCTTGTTATAAAGTCTTTTACTTCCATGGTGCTTCTCAGAGACTGAACTTCGAGGAAGCGAGAGCAGCCTGCGGGAGGGATGGGGGCCAGCTAGTCAGCATCGAGTCTGATGATGAACAGAGACTGATAGAAAAGTTCATTGAAAAGCTCCGGGCGTCGGATGGTGATTTCTGGATTGGGCTGCGGAGGCATGAGGAGAAGCAAAGCAACAGCATCGCCTGCCGGGACCTTTACACCTGGGTGGATGGTAGCCTCTCAACGTTCAGGTAAAGGTGCCTAAGCCACAGTGCTAACTCGCTTGACATCACTCAAAAGGAGGCAGGCTAGATCGACGGTGCCGGGTCAGAGGGGAGGAGGAGAGGGCCAACCCAGGCAAGGCCTCGAAGAGAGGGCAGCAAGAGAGGTGAGGTGCTGATCGAGCAGTGCGGGGAGGTGGTGAGTCAGCCTTGTTCCGGGCCCAGCTCCTATCCAAAGAGCTCTGTTCAGGAGGGTGTGGCCCAGAAGCATTGTTTCAGTGGCGGACAGTGCTTCAAGCCAGTGGCTCTGACTCCCTAAAATGCCAGTGAGATGAGGGTCTGTGGGGCTAAGACTTAAGATAGGGCTTCAGACCCCAGGGAATCATAACGAAGGGCAAGAAATCACAGCCAAGATCTAGTTCTATGGATTGGCCAAGAGAGGACTTAAGGAAGCCTGCAGTCCTGCAGTTTGTAGAACCCTCCTAAACCCACAACCTACCCTGGCACCATGGCATACCATCCCCCCCACCCTAAGAAATGCAGTGACATGAGCAAACATTAAAAAAGGTAAAATTAGAAGGCAGACGTAAGACTGGAAAAATATTGTAGCAAATTTAACAAAGTTTTTATGAGTTTTTATGAGTTTATATAAAAGTCAATAAAGCACTTAAAGTTTACATAAGTTATTAAAACTCCAAAAGGTAAAGAGGCAAAGAACCTAAGCAGACATTTCAGAAAATACAAAATCTAACTGGTGAACAATCATAGAAAAAAAAGTTCAAACTCATTATCAATCAAAAAAATGAAGGTAAAAATATATTTTTTGCCTATTACATTTAAGATAGCATGTCAGCATCTATCAAACTCTACCCATTATGTTGATCAGATCTACATCTTCATCTGAGTTCCAGGAGTTCCTTCTTCAGGGTTCTCATGGGCCTCTCTTCTTGGGAGAAACTTAAAGAGGAAGGTTAATAAGATGACATCATCTGCGTTCCAGGAGTTCCTTCTTCAGGGTTCTCATGGGCCTCTCTTCTTGGGAGAAACTTAAAGAAGAAGGTCAATAAGATGAACTACACTCCCCACCACTGCAGCTGGTCCCAGGGCCACATTCATCTCTGTCCTCTACTATCCAGTCCAGATTCGCCTCACCCTTCTGCTCGGGGACTGTGAGGCCCTAGTCACCTTGCACTTCTAAAGCTGAAGTGATTGCACTTTTCCATTTACCGTCAACCTTGGGCACATGAGTACCAACAGGTGCCCAAGTAGATAACCTGGGTGCCAAATATATTTCTCTCTGCCAATAATGTGGAACAGCAGCCATAATTCCTCCTCATGATTAGGGTCAGTTACCCCTGCCAAGATAATAGTCCTCTTCTTGCCTGCTGGTCCCTGGACACAAGGATCCCAGAGTGCCCAAGTGGCAGGCATAGCGCATAGTTCAATAAGGCTCTTGCTGTATCTTCTAATGGGTAGCCTTTAAACTCACAGAGCCCAGCATTGCAGAGAAAGAAATATAAATTCTCCAACTGGGCCACTATCAGTGACAGTAATCAGGGTTACTCCTGTTTCCACCCCTAGGCTCCCAGACTCATGTATTCTTACTCTTGGGGACATAGGGCAATACAAAGGTCATTGATTCAAAGTGTACACTGCATCTTGGAGGATGATGCCTTTTTCTCACAAAGTATTGCCTCTAAGCTAGTGCATCAGCTGTGGTTTAAACAGCTCTTCCGTCACTCTGTCAGGCTGGTAGCTTCGGAATAGTGAATATATGATAGGACTAGCAAATCCCATGACCAGGTGTCCACTCCCACTCCTCCTGAACTACAAGTAGGTCCTGTGGTCTGATGACATGTTACTTGGGATCCTATGCCGATAGATCAAATACTGTGTATGTAAGCCTTTGGATGGTAGTGCTGACTAAGGTCCTGAGGCAAGAAAGGCAAAGCCATACCCAGATTGTGTGTCTATTCCTGTCAAAATGAGTCACTGGAAGGAGTCCAGTGTAGTCAACTTGCTACCAAGTGCCAGGCTGGTCTCCCAGTGTTGATGCTCTTTCAGGGACTCAGTGGTGGTCTCTATTGCTGGGCAGGTTGGATGTTTGGCAGTCACTAGATCATCCTTGGAGAGTGAGGACCGATACCATTGAGCCCATGCATGGCTTCCATCCCTGCCACCATGGCTACTCTAGTGTATATTTATTACGCTAGCACTGGGGCAGCTGATAACAGGCTGGCTGGCATTTTGTTTCCCTTGTTGTTTAGGGCCTCTTCCATGCTAGACGCTTTCTGGGGGGCTCTAACATATGACAGAGTCTCATACTTTACACTTATTCCCATATGTCTATTCACATCACTATCTAATAGCACCTTGTCCCCCATCTTCTACCCTTTCTCCTTGGAAAAATATTTTTCCCCCCGATCAGCTGGCCAAGCTCTCTGCCCTACCCCTGAGTCCTTCTATATTCTAACCTCCAACAACCACCAACTAAGCTCCAGACATTGGGAGGATGTCTCCATAACACTTGACCTTTCAAGGCCATCCATGGGTGGGACTGTAGTGCAGCTGTTTTGGAGCTGTACTCCCATATTGGCTGACCTATCCACAAATCCAGCCCAGGCTGCCTCTATCAGCTGGTCGTAAGGGATTCCCTTACACAGCCATAGGTGTAGCCTGAGGAAGAGGCTCTGGCACAACAATGGTAGACGTCATGGCAGTCTGCTCTACCTACTCATACAGTGCTCTTTGGTCTACTCATATAATGTCCTTCAGTCTTATATATACCTCTTCCATCTTATAATGGATTGACTCCAGGCCTACCTAACCTGTGACTATGTGTGTCTGATAGTACCTCACCCATGATGGGCAAGTTGGATTGAATGGTCTCTTGGAGCTCCTTGCGTAGTAGCAAGCCAGGTGTTTCTTTCTCAGCTATAGGTGACATGCCTTGCTACAGAATCCTAGGGGTCTGCATTGCGATTCTCTCATTGGGGTTTGTCACAAATTCTACATGGCATTATTTTTGCCATCACTGATACCTCTAATAATAGAGTCTACTTGATCATATGGCCCAAGTGGAAAGTCTATTTGCACCATAGCCTCTACCTGCTTCAGGGTCCTTTCCGCCCTGGACCCCACTCAAAGCCAGCTGTCTTTTGTGTTAGCTGGTTTTGAGGCCAGAGCTGAATTCCCAGGTATGAACTTCTAGAACCCAAAGAGGCCTACTAGGTGCAATGCTTCCTTTCAAATTATTGCAAGATACTTCAAGTTACTGCATGAAATCCTTTCATTTGAAAGGGATATGCTGGCATTCTCTGGATCATTAGGCACCTACACATGTTTTTGAAGCGGCAGGCCCCTGAATCTTCATAGGCTTTATCTCCAACCCTTGGAGCACATGAATCTTACTAAGGCTTCCCATATACTAGCCACTTCTTGCTCATCTACTTCAATTAGCATGAATGTCAGCAATATCGTGAAGAGGGTGGAGAAGACTGCAGTTTCAGAGGCTTCCACTTGACCTTCTCCACTATTGTAGCTCTTACCTTATAGGCTTTCAATTTATATATTTGGGGCTTGGGTAATAACCACTAGATGGGTCCCACTGTGAGCTGGTCTTGGGCCAGGATTCCACTTGATACCTGCTTCAGTATGCACCCACTCTGATGGGCAGCCTTGATGACACGTCTTTGGGCATCAACTTCAACTTGCACTTTGTGTCAAACAGTCTTTATAATAGTTGGGTTTCCTCTTTTCCCAATGCATGGTTACTTGAGTAAATAGGTGTAGGTCCCTTTTGCAAGAGGAAATTATTACCTCATGTGCCTGCCATGGTGTCGCAAGGTTCTTCCTCCTGGGAACCTAGCCTCTCCTTCTGTCAGTGAGCTCCCAGCCTAAAAGCTGGCTCCAGTCCAGAAATCTGGTGCCAGGTACAATAGTCCATCTAGTCTATCATCTGTGAAATGAAATAACATAAAGTGGGGCAGGGAACAAGCAGGTCGGTGTGGGAGGCCTACCCACAGAGCTGAAATATGGCCTGGAGGAAACTAATGGAAAGCAGAGCCCAGCCCCAGACAAGTGACCAGGCATCGTGTCCAGCAGTGTTGCAAGGTCAGCTGTTGTCCAGGCACATGAAACCCAGTGGGTAAGCAAAGGATCTTCCTTTGGGTGGATGCCAACACAGCACCCAAGCAGAACCATAATGGGGTGCTACTAGGAGACCTGTCTCTCAGCTGACTCCTAAGGAGGGGCTCTCACGAGAGTAGGCAGAGCAACAGGGCCCAGCTAAGAATCTGAGCATCAGGGCAAGATCTGAGTGCTGGAAGGAAACAGCTTAGGTGGGTATCCAGGCAACTAAAGCCCAGTCCTGGGTCAGGGCATGGGGTAGGTGCTCATAGCACTTACACTCTTTATGGAATCCAAAACCCGGCACCCACATATCCAACTGGGTGGCAGCACCATTTAATTCCAAGTACCACTGGGTAGTGGAGCAGAGGCTGCTAATGCATCCTATCCAGGAGCCAGTGAGGCCAAGACAAGAAATCTAGCAGTGGAGGCTGACAGAGTGGCTCATCAACTTGATGAACTGGAAACAACTAAAAAAGGCTACCTGGGCCTCCTGCTCCTGCCCCGCCCTCTCACCTACTTCAACAGCCTCTGCATTTTGGAAAGTCTTCCCAGGGCTGGGCAAGTCAGTTATGGCCAATTAAAAAGTGTGAGGACATGGGACCCGAGCAAGGGTGAAATAAGTCATACCTCTTCTAGGTGCATCTGATTTGTAAAAAAGAAAAGCCAACCCAGTTATCAGAAAGCAAGCAAGAAATAAGATCACCCAGACTGTGCTGCCAGCTGCTTTTTCTCATAATTACTTTGTAGAAATCATATGGTAATATATCCCTTCCTTCCTGCAAAGGGGTTGTGGCCAGTGTCAGATGATTGACTGTGCTGTTCACATGCAGAAGCCTATGACTCTTCTTAATGGCAGTACCTCAATTCCTCCCTCTCTCTGTATCCTTCTGAAGCAGAATCTTAAGTTTGTGGCTCGGTGAAATTTGATGGGAAAACAAAGGCTTTGAAGCCTGGTGGTATCCTCCAATTGCCTCCACTCTTGACTCTTTCCTACAGGAACTGGTATGTGGATGAGCCTTCCTGTGGCAGCGAGTTCTGCGTGGTCATGTACCATCAGCCATCAGCACCCACCGGCATCGGCGGCCCCTATAAGTTCCGGTGGAATGACGACCAGTGCAGCGTGAAGAACAATTACATTTGCAAATACTCCCATGGTAACGAATCCTCTCTCAAGTTATGTGGCTCAATCTCAATCTCCTCTCTCATTTCATAAGCAGCTGCTAGTTCCAAGAATGTGTTATGTGGTCTCTGAGAAAGCTTGTTGCAAAGGCCAGCATTGGGAATTCTTGGAAAGGGAAATGTAGTGAGCCTTCCTCACTGAGGTGTAATTCTAGCAAAGGAGAGGGGTATCAGATGCTAAGAGAGGGGACAAAGAAAAGAAAGGGTCGAATTTATGTGTAATCAAGTGAGAATTATGAGAACTTCAGCAAACAAAACCCCCTCTGAGTGGACAATAACAAATTCTTGTTGTTCCACCTGTGAGGTTGGCTGTAGGAGCTTGGAATAAAGAAGAAATATGAACAGCTGGCCATTATTCCTACACATCTTCTAACAGCCATGTGAGATTATTTTCTGAGGCTTTAAGGAAACAGAATAATGACCAGAGGTGGGAGATGATAAAACACACCAATTTCTCTGGCTTTGGGCAAAGAGCAGACACGTTGATGAGCTCGAACTCCCAGACCACTCTCTGTATGAACCTTGCAAATTCCACTGGCGTTTGCTTCTAGATCTCTCGAGGGTTTGGGCTCTGAGACTGTAGTCTCACTCTGTTGGAGTTTCCCACACTCCTTCACTGTAGCTGACTTGAACCTAAACTTAAAGTGAGTCGATCTGTTCCTGAAGTTTCTCGCCTCAATGAAGCCAACTGCTCAGCTCCGATTCCCATCCTTTCCCAACAGGAGTAGAATGACTTGTTATATCTAGTTGGTTACTAAATAATTCCATCGTTTTTAAATTGTTTGAATTGGACTGTGCTTTTGCTGCAGTTTTGCTGCTAAAAGGTTTTTTTCCTTTCTCCAGAGGCCT